CGTCTCCTGTCCCCTTTCCAGGACCACGTCTACCAGTTCTGTTGTAAGGATTGCTGTGATGATTACAAGCGCCTCCACGGAGTCGTGTCCCAGTGTGAATACTGCAAGCAGGAGAAGCTTCTCCATGAGAAGATCCGCTTTTCTGGGGTAGAGAAGAACTTCTGCAGTGAAGGTAAGTCCATCCTCGTAGAATGAAATGCTCATTATAAAACCTGAATCATTAGTACTTTCCACCCATGTGCCCCAAACGTGCGCTTTCCTGGTCAGGGGGCATGCACTGCTCACATACAGCCATAGTGCGTGCTCGGGAGGAGCTGCTGTCAATCACTGCCATGGTGGGAGGAGCAGGGTAGTGACTTAGAGCAGGGTTCAGGAGGGTAGGTGGAACAGAGCTGCTGTCAATCACTACCCTGGTGGGAGGAGCTTAGGGCAAGGGCTCAGGTGGGTAGATGGAACAGAGCAGCTGTCAATCACTGCCATGGTGGGAGGAGCATGGGAGTGGCTTAGGGCAAGGGCTCAGGAGGGTAGATGGAACAGAGCAGCTGTCAATCACTGCCATGATGGGAGTGGCTTAGGGCAAGGGCTCAGGAGGGTAGATGGAACAGAGCAGCTGTCAATCACTACCCTGGTGGGAGGAGCTTAGGGCAAGGGCTCAGGAGGGTAGATGGAACAGAGCAGCTGTCAATCACTGCCCTGGTGGGAGGAGCATGGGAGTGGCTTAGGGCAAGGGCTCAGGAGGGTAGATGGAACAGAGCAGCTGTCAATCACTGCCCTGGTGGGAGGAGCATGGGAGTGGCTTAGGGCAAGGGCTCAGGAGGGTAGATGGAACAGAGCAGCTGTCAATCACTGCCCTGGTGGGAGGAGCATGGGAGTGGCTTAGGGCAAGGGCTCAGGAGGGTAGATGGAACAGAGCAGCTGTCAATCACTGCCCTGGTGGGAGGAGCATGGGAGTGACTTCAGTGCTGCCCTTGCAGCCTCCTGCACGTTATGGTGGCTCCACTTTAAGTTGCCATGTTGTGTGTAGAGTTGCACGTGGCTTGTATTTGGGTCTGGGTTGTATCTCCGGCTCTTGCTGTATCTGATGATTGGAAACTCATTGTGAATAAGGTCCTGTACTATACTCCTGCTAAGTACTGTGCGTCCTCCATGTATGACGCATGTATAATGGCTGATCTGTGTGACATGCAGCCGCCTCTATAGTGACACGTATTCTCTTTGTACAGGTTGTGTGCTGCTATACAAGCAAGACTTTACCAAGAACCTCGGCCTGTGCTGTATAACCTGTACGTATTGTTCTCAGACCTGCCAGCGTGCTGTCACCGAAGAACTGGACGGCAGCACATGGGACTTCTGTAGTGAGGAATGCAAGAGCAAGTATCTGCTGTGGTACTTCAAGGTACGTTTCATGTCTATGGGGAGGCGTGGATAGGTCATGTCTATGGGGAGGCGGGGATTAGGAGGTCATGTCTATAGGGGAGGCGGGGATAGGAGGTCATGTCTATGGGGAGGTGGGGATAGGAGGTCATGTCTATGGGAGAGGCGGGGATAGGAGGTCATGTCTATCGGGGAGGCGGGGATAGGAGGTCATGTCTATGGGGGAGGCGGGGATAGAAGGTCCTGTCTATGGGAGAGGCGGGGATAGAAGGTCCTGTCTATGGGAGAGGCGGGGATAGAAGGTCATGTCTATGGGAGAGGCGGGGATAGAAGGTCATGTCTATGGGAGAGGCGGGGATAGAAGTGGGGAGGAGGTCATGTCTATGGGGGAGGGGGGGAGGCCGTTCCCATATTGTCGAAGCCCCTCACATGATGCTTTCTGTCCCCCCGCAGGCAGCCCGATGTCACGCATGCAAGCGGCAGGGAAAACTGGTGGAGACGATTCACTGGAGAGGGGAGATCAAACATTTCTGCAACCAGCAATGTCTGTTACGTTTCTACAATCAGCAGAACCAGCCGAATCTGGACACCCAGAAGGGGCCCGAGAGCTTGCTGCACAGTAAGAAAGGTGTGTGAGCAGGAAGTACTGCGTGGCCTTCCCTGGCTCCTCCCTCCTCATTAACATAATGACATCGTGAAATGCAACCTTCCCATTTTCATTACACCCCGGTGATGTCATCATTGGGTCTCTGTGCTTCTCATACAATGCAGGCAGACCATGGCTGGTGGGAGGAGCCGGCGGGCAGACCATGGCTGGTGGGAGGAGCCGGCGGGCAGACCATGGCTGGTGGGAGGAGCCGGCAGGGGGGCTGTACATAGCTTCAGGAAAACATCACAGCGCCCTGACTCTGTACTTCTCTCATGAGTCCTGATACAAGCAGTGGGCGGGCTCTTGGGAGGAGTTATGCAAATGTAGTGGGTGTTCCCAGGCAGGCCTTATTTGCATGAGATCCGCCCCTGGGTAACACCCACATGTGATGCTGAGCCTCCATGATTGAAAGAACTGGAATCCAATGCATGAAAGGGGCAGCTGGGATGGAGAGGAAAGGGCTAGATGATGCTGATCCGTCTGTTCATTGCTCAGGGTTCCTCTGGTTGAGTACGTCTGTCCTAGTACGGTATAAACCTGCGCCGAATATTTATGTTCTATATTCATTTTACAGGTCAAAGTGTAGGAACCAAAACCACCCCAAACTCGCAGGCGAAAAGCGAGAGCAGCCCGGTGAGTATCCCTGCCGATATGAAACAACCGGCGATGGTGCGTATGTCTTAGCTACCACCACTGCATCCACCCCCTCCCAGTAACCTTTCTTCTATATACTGCAATTGTCTGATACAATTACAGTACGAAAATGAATAAGAAATTAACGTAAACAAATACACGTGTGTGATTAACATGATTCATCCGTGTGCCATGTGAAAGGTTTACATGCTGCTACTGAGGTAGACCTGATCGCATGATGAACCCGCATCACTTGTGTTGCCGTCACTTGTTTATTGAATGTTTATCTTTTTTTTTTTTAGGCTTCACCAAAACCACAATCCCCGCAGACGGCCTCCGCCCCTCCCCCCCCGCCCAGTCCCACGGTCCCCCGCAATGGGGAGGGCTGAGGAGCGCTGGGGAGCGCTGAGGAGCGCTGGGGAGGGCTGAGGAGCGCTGGGGAGGGCTGAGGAGCGCTGGGGAGGGCTGAGGAGCGCTGAGGAGCGCTGGGGAGGACCTTTTTATGTTTTGGAGTGTCATCAGATGTTCGATATACGTCTGTCTGAAGCGTGGGAACGCCCCCGATGTCACATGGTTTGTTTGGTTTCTCCCCTAGAAGCGGATTGGAAGCCGCAGATCATCGTGCTGCCCATTCCGGTGCCCATATTTGTGCCAATTCCCATGAACTTATACTCTCAGAAAGTGCCTGTTCCCTTCACCATGCCCCTTCCGGTGAGTCTCCTTCCACTCTGTATTATGCATGGAGTAGCCCCGGCCTGGTTGTCGGATGGCTGGTGTTCCCCTTTATAACCGGCGGTTTCCTCCTTTCGGTAGGTGCCTGTGCCGCTGCTGCTTCCCACCACTCTGGAGAGCACAGACAAAATCTTGGAAGCCATTGAAGAGCTGAAAGTGAAAATCCCGTCCAACCCCCTGGAAGCCGATATCCTGGCCATGGCGGAGATGATTGCAGAAGCCGAGGAGCTGGACAAATCCTCCGCTTT